TAATACATAAGAGAAGAGAATACAACACAATGCAAAAGATAATACAATATAATACATAAGAGAAGAACATTCAGTTTTGGTCACCAAGATGTAGAAAAGATGTGGAGACTCTAGAAAGAGGGCAGAGAAGAGCAACAAAGAGGTTTAGGGGACTGGAGGCTGAAATATCTGAAGAACGGTTGCAGGAACTGGGTAGGTCTAGTTTAATGAAAAGAAGGACTAGGGGAGACAGGATAACAGTCTTCCGATATCTCAGAAGCTGTCACAAAGAAGAGGGAGTCAAACTATTCTCCAAAGCACATGAGGGCAGGACAAGAAGCAATGGGGGGAAACTAATCCAGGAGAGAAGCAACTTAGAACTGAGGAGGAATTTCCTGACAGAATCATTAATCAGTGGGACAGAATTTGCCTCCAGAAGTTGTGAATGCCCCAACACTGGAAGTCTTTAAGAAGATGTTGGATAGCTATTTGTCTGAAAGGTATAGGGTTTCCTGCCTAGGCAGGGGGTTGGACTAGAAGACCTCCAACGTCCCTTCCAACTCTGCTATTGTATTGTATTAAATATAACTGTAGTTGATAATAAACATTTTAATAAATAAATACATCTCCATTCTCAGCAGTTGCATCTCTCTTCACCTTTTCGTAGCTCTACGCTCACGGGCTTCCCCCGCCGAGCAGAAGGAATCCCGAACCAAACTCCCAATCAGGAGGCAGTCCCCGCGGTGGGCGTGGCCACTGGCCCAAACTCTTGGATCCGATTGGTTAAAACCACGCCCTATCCGAACAGGACTTGAGTAAGGGAGAGGCGGATTAGTGGGGCGTCTGGACGCCCCAATCGCAAGCGGCGATGTTGCGGAGGTGAGGAGCTGAGCGGCCGAAACCGCCGCAGTCGTTCGCCATGGGTCTCCTGGGCGAGGTGACGCGAGGCCTCGTCCGCGGCGCCGACCGCATGTCGGCCTGGACGAGCAAGCGGGGCCCGCGGACCTTCTTCAAGAGCCGCGGCTGCAAAGTTTTCGGCTGCATCACGTCGAGCCGCAAGTTCCGCCTGGAGAAGGACCAGGTGCCGGTGCTGATGGTGCCGGATCTGGCGGGCTTCAAGCTGAAGGCCTACGTCTCCTACCGGGCACCCGCGGGTAGCGAGCCGCCCCTGACCGCCCGCACCCTCTTCCAGCAGACCGCCGCGCCTCTGATCGAGAAGGACGTCAAGGGAGGCGTCTTCGACCCCGACGCCCTGGAGAAGTACGGCTTCGAGCCCAGCCAGGAGGGGAAACTCTTCAGGCTCTTCCCCAAGAACTTCGTGCGCTAGCGGGCGGAAGGAATGAAAGGAAGGAATGAAAGAAAAGATAAAAGAGAAACACACACACACACACAGTGGAGACAAATTGTCCCCCAGGACTGCAACTTTATTGAACCCTTTCAAATACAGGATCGAAAGCAGAGGAAAAAAGACTATTGAAAGCAGAGGGAAAGGATACAATTTCCTGGAAGAAAAAACACAATTTCCTGGAAGGAGAGAGAGGAAAAAATAATTTATTGGAATATTAGGGAAAAAGATACAATTTCCTGAAAGAAGAGGGAAGAAAAAAGAATTTCTTGGAAGAAGATGGGTAAAGACACAATTTCCTGGAGGAAGAGGGGGCAGGAAATGACAATTTTCCTGGAAGACATAATTTCCCGGTAGTAGAGGGAGGAAAAAAGACAATTTCTTGGAAGAAGAGGAAGGAGAAGACACAATTTCCTGGAAGAAGAGAAGACAGAGATGAAGAACAACAGAGTTGGAAGGGACCTTGGAGGTCTTCTAGCCCAACCCCCTGCTCGATCAAGAGACTCTATACCATTTTGGACAATGGCTGTCAAGTCTCTTCTTAAAAACCTCTAGTGATGGAGCACCCTTAATTTACATTTATATTTAATCTACATTTATATTTCTCCCAATCTATAGCAGTTTCTCCAAAAGGGACTTATGGAACAGATCATTTTGGGGAGGAGGGTTAAGAATGAAGAGAATGCAGATATTATACCTCCCTGCCTGGGAAGTGTTGATGTTTCTGCTTTGAAACTTGTCTCCGGAAAAGCCTTTAATATATTTGTTTCTCTGTGGAGTCATTGGTGGTCTCTGTTCAAAGTAAAATGCCTGGGAACAGGTCTTGCAAGGGTTGGGAAATGCCAGTTACTAAAAGGATGGCTGTGGAGTTTGGGCACTGAATTTGGTGGGGAGGAAAGGCTCCTGGTTTTCTGTGCAGCTCAGATTTACATAAATGAAATGATCCTTTTCACAAAAAGAAAAAAAATAGCATATTTATAAGAGTTCTCATATGTTCAGGGAATGAACTGCCATTTTTAAACCTGACTTGATACTTAGCTATGATTTCCTCAATTGGTTATGTTTAAACTAGCAAATCCTTGCATACACATTCCCTAGTACAGGAGTCGGCAACCTTAAACACTCAAAGAGCCATTTGGACCACAGAAAAGAAAACACCGGGAGCCACAAAACCCTTCCCATGCCTGACTATTCCCTGGGCAGCCACAGAACTAGCATATGTAGTTGAGTTTAACATTCTCTACACAGGCAAATTTGGCCCAGTCCAAAGTAGTTTTTGACACAAGCTTTGATACTTGTGACTCTTAATCTATATATATATAAAAGCGAAATAGCATTCATGCATCACAAAATCTCCAGAACCGTAAAGCCTACAAACTTGAAATTTGGCACGTAGACTTCTAGTGCTCGCTAAGAAAGGATTTTTTCAAAATGACCATTAGATCATTAGTATTTCTTATATTATTATTAACATGTTCTGATGCTAAGGAGTTAGACATTCTACTCCCCCTCCCCACCTGAAAAGAACTCTATTCCAACTGCCACTTGTGCGTGGGCATGACCAACACATAACTCATCCGGCCTGCGGGCTGGGAATTTAGACATTCTAGTTCTAGTAGCTTACATAAAAAGGACAGTGGATCTTACAAGACAACATTTTATTGTAAAAAAGAGATTGAAAATATATTTTAGTCGGAAGGTTCTCTTTACAATGCCAACGATCATGTTTGTATGAAAATACCATAATTGGTAATACCTCAGATCATAAATAAGCCCTTTGACACTACAAAAAGGGCTTGTGCTTCGATTTGTGGTTATCATTGGTGGCAGTTTTTAATTTCAACCTCTTTTCCCAAGCTTGAATAAAACAGGTTCCCTATTTATTGGAAGGGGGGAGGTGAGCCAAATACCACTCCAATGATAAAGCTGGTGTTTGAGAATGTCGCAAGAATCAAATCTTAGGGGAAAAGTGGAATTAACAGGAAATTAGGGAACCTGAGCAAACTTATTTCTGCAGTACAAAATTAAAAAGCTGTTGAAAAGAACCAAGTAAGCAACATACGAGGCTTCAAAAACTCACGGCTACTGGAGGCTCCCAGCAGTAATATAAAAACATAGAAGAGAATATTGGTAGCTTGGAATTGACTTGTGGGGTCCTTGATGCTCTCTGAGCTTGATGGTTTTCCTGCAGATGTTTCATTTACCAAACTGGATACCGAAGTACCAAATGAGCTACCTGTTTATATCCAGTAGCTTACCTTGAAACTCGCACCCTGCATCCAGTATCCAGATAAGCAGGAATTGACACCAGACAGACAAGGAGAAAACAATACCCTGCTCAAGGAACTAACGAGGAGAAAACCACACCTCCAGTGGGACCGAAAGGAGAAGCTACTGTATGTGAATGGGGAGCAAACGCCACACTCATTAGCACTGATGGCGTTGCCTAGTTGAGTCATGAGATGTCTGCAAGAACAACCCAAGAACCCTACAGTCGTCCTCTTCCTCCTGCACACAGCAGACGGCACTCCCTTCTAGCTCTGATAATGTTACCTAGTTTGGTCATGAAACGCCTGCATGTAAACGACAAAAGTTCAAGGACCTCACCGTTGAACTCTGAGCTACACAAATATTCCCTTCTGTCCAAAGTCATCCATCCCACGTTTCTCCTGCAAATAGAAAAAAAGGCAGAATACATGGCTCCGTCCCCCCACTCCACAGTGGGTTTAAGCCAGAGGGGAGCTCCGGCTGACCTCCCACTTCCAAACATGTAGAACATGGTCGTAAAAGGAGCACGTCGCTAAGAGGCTGGTCTCCCGGTGGGCTTTGGCTGCGTGGGCATCCCCATTGGCTTTGGTATCTGGAGCTCTTGCGTCTCCGGATGGCCCCTGGGGGACCAAGGAGCCTCCCGCTGGGGATGGAGAGATGGGAGGTTGATTCTCCTCTTCTTCGAGCAGCACATCGAAGGTGGCTGTGGGGGATTCGTAAATGATCTTGAGGTTCTTCCCTTTCACATCCTCTGGGCTGGCTCTTTGGTCCTCCTGAATTGTCAGCGCCGCCGTAGACGCCTCCAAAGACGCGCCCAGGGGAAGCCTGCACCAATCGGCGCCATAAGCCAAAGAATTGTGCAAGGCGTAGGACGACAGGATCGTGCATTTCTCTTGGTTCTCGTCTACTAGGGGGAGAAAAAGAGTAGGGCTGTTGCACCTGGACATCAAGATCTTCCTTATTCAAGTAATCCCCATCATCTTTTAATGAGCCCATAATCCTTTTTCTGGCCAACTGAATGGAGCGGAGTGTTTCCTGGCCTGATGCCCTTCCCTGTTGCCAATGCGGAGTTTTATTCAGCACATAAATTCTCATTGTGCCCAGAGAGATAAATATCTGCCTCTACCTAGGGTCAAACTCACAGCCTCCTGATTGTGAGGCGAGAGTGCCACCTCTAGGCCGCCGTACCACTTATTCCTTATTCAGGTAATGAGGTGAGGGAAATTTATGTTTTTATTTTATTTACATTTTATTTTGGGGGGGTTATTCCCTCTATTAATATTTTACAAACAACTCGAGGTAATCATGCCGGTTGCAGTGTCCCGGAGTCATGTTGCAACCACCTGACAAGCAAAGTCAATGAGGAAGCCAGATTCACTTAACAACCATGTTACTAGCTTAACAACGGCAGTGACTCGCTTCCCTGTGGCTGTTCTGACCCAGGCTTCCCGACAGCCTAAAACAAACTCCTTGTCCCGACAAAACCCTTTTATTAATTTCCTGTGAATTCTGCTGTTTCACATCCAGCAAAGTCTTTCGAGGGAGGATTTATAGTCACAGACCTTCTCTGGCTTGGAGAGCTGCTGGGCCGATCTCTGCAGAACTTGGCAAGGAGTCTCAGAGAGTCACAAACCAATTAAGTGAAC